CCCATTTTTGTATTGTTAGCCATTTGTGAAGTTCTTAAATTTTTCTCCTTTCCTTTCATCATCTGTTCCTGATTCATAAACATTTTAAAGCTGGATTTAGTCATGCTGCAGCTTGTTATTTTTCTTTTTGTTGATTTTGATGTCTCGCACTGCCTGTTTCATTTGCAACTTCATCTTCAACGACACCGTCACTGACATCCAATTCATCTTCTTCAATTAGATAAGATTCCCCAAACTCTTGATCAACAGATATACTGTCATTATGTGTGGAGGCTGCATCAGTTTGAATAATCTTCACTCGTGCAGAAGTTGCAGAACCTCCTGACCTTTCAAGTTTGATATTAGGTTATCCTCATACTCTTCACTAACATCTAACATACTTTTTCTTATTTTTCTTTTTCTTTCTTGCTTTTACTATTAGTGACTTAATCAAAATTTTGAGCATTATCTTTAATTGTTGATATCTCATTTTTTCCTGTGGATAATTTTATTTCCTCCACTTTTAAATTAGCATCACTTTCTTCAAGCCTTATTTGAGTTTCTACCCCCCATGATACCCTCCTTAACTTCTGTTGATTGCTGGGGTTTTCGTTTTTTGAGAGGAGAGAGCCGGAAAATTTTTATTTTCATTTTGAGTTCATAATAGTCACCGTCAGCATCACCTGAGTCAGTCGAAATTGGCTGAAGAATTTGACTTTCCTCATTATTATTATTATTATTATTATTATTATTATTAATTATTATTATTATTATTATTATCAAAACCAAGAGCTAAACCTACAAGGGTCATACTGCTTTGCTCTGCCTTTCCTCAGAAGATGATTCCTGAAGAATTTCTGCATTTTGCTTCAGCTATTATTCTTTCTTGTTCTGCTCTTCTTTAACCATTTTGTCCTGATAGGTGAGAGATCTGTGATACTGCTCCTGTATGAGAGATGGAACACATGTAATGGTGTGTGGTGTTTGTACTGTCTGAAGCAGCAGGTATGGGTGGTGACAAACTCGGAAGTTGCCATAGTGACAATTTTCTGGTTATCTATTCTTAGAATATAATCCCCATCTCCAGTAGATTCTTAATCTCTTTAATATGTATGTATAACGGCTGTAAGTGCTCACTTATTAAATAAATATGATATGTTTGTGTGTTGCAGGTATGAAGAAGATGACAATAGCTGGTCCATGACAGACTTGATGTATGGTGTGGCTATGTCAGCTATTCCTATCGGCCTCCTCGTCTCAGCCATCCCTACTGGCCTCTTCACTGTTGCCCTTAGGAGGTAAGTATTGTCTGCTGAAGCACTTTAACTCTGTCACCTTTCAAGGTGGTGCTTTGAAGCTGGAGGATTCTTGATCCAGGGAATTTAAGCAACCTTACCCTTCCTTGGATCAAACCTGATTACCCCATATGGGTTTAGCACTTTCCATGAATAAAAAATAACAATTCTGGTAATGATAATTACCACCATCAGGAGAATGGATAGTTATTTTTTAATTGTTAATTTTTCCCTCATCATAGACGAAGCCTTGGTGATGATAATCTGCTGGAGGACAGTCTTAACCCAGAAGAATTACCCCTGCTACATGCTTTAGTGGAGAGTGACTTCCTGGCTCTCACCTCCCGGGAGTGCCAAGCGAAGCTCTTCTGTGAACTCACTCGCATTGGCGAACATGAGGGTGCCTCGTTCATGCAGAGAGCCTTCTACTATGTCTCTACTCTGTAAGTTAACTTATTGTACATTTATTTATTATTATATTATAACTAAACGCTGAACCCGCAAGGATCATACAGCACTGATTATTTATTAATATACTAATAATACAATCGAGAACTAAACCCACAAGGGTCATACAGCATTATTTGATACTATATAGTACATACTGGCCTGGTGGCTCAAGCTCCTGCTTCACACACGGACTGCCTGGGTTCGATTCCCAGCAGGTGGAAACATTTCGACGCGTTTCCTGACACCTGTTGTCCTGTTCACCTAGCAGCAAATGGGTACCTGAGTGTTAGTTGACTGGTGTGGGTCGCATCCTGGGGAACAAGATTAGGGACCCAATAGAAATAAGTTAGTCCTCGATGACGCACTGATTTTCTTGGGTTATCCTGGGTAGCTAACCCTCCAGGGTTAAAAATCCTAAGAAAATCTTAGTAGTATTTTTTGGTAGAAAAAACATTATTATAATCAAAACTAAGTGCCAAACCTACAAGGGTCATACAGCACTGAGTAGAAAAACACATCCTTGTCTGTATTAAATTATTTTTATCAGACAACATCCATGATATTTGAAGCAAGCTCTTAGAATAAGCTGAATGTCATGTTTTCAGAACCCCAGACTTCCTGGCGCGGAAAGTGGGGCTTGCTCGGCTATTCCGGACTTCGAGGTCTGGCAACTGCAACATGTTCCAGTGCTCAGCCACCTCAGCACAGAGACCTCCCCCAAAGGTAACACATAAGCCTGTAGACACCAATCGCATCTCTGAAGATGTTACCAGCTCCGATAAGGACACTGTAGAGGTTGCAAAGGAATGATGAGGCATTGTCTTACCCTGACTGCTCTCGCTGCCATTTCAGCTGATCCCCCTTTGCTGTAAAAATTTTTTTTCTTTGTGGGTTGGAAAAAAACTTTGCTTTTAAGATCCCCTGGTCTTAGTCGTAAATACCACCCTGACTCTCGACCCACACATGTGGGCAAACTATAGGCCAAAGGGGTTTTGAGCGTATTTTGTATTGATTTTGATTTTTAATGTATTTTAGTTATTGACAGTTTAAATTATTTAAAAAAAAAGGAAACGAAAAACCCCACTGGGGTTTGTTATTGCAGAAATTTGTCACTTTTTGGTATTTTGTAATGACACGGGTTGTTTTAATTTTATGGGAAAAAACCAGGTGACTTAAAAAAGGCCCTTTGAACAGAAAGGGGGGTTTTTTTACACTGGAGCATCGGGCGGGTTTAAAGGGCTCAAACTCAAAACTGCCAGTTGCCTGGAAAAGAATCCCTCAGTCTTTTTAATGAGAAGAAGAGCAATTTCCTGGGGAAATTTCATCTAACCAAGAATTATGTACAAAAGAAACTCGACGGGCCCTTCCACAAGCTCTTTTAAAATTTTCCTTTAGGAAAAATTTGGACGAAAATTTTTTTAAAGTGCCCCTGTGACCAAGAAATCCAGTATAAACCCAGACTTGAGACTTTTTCAAAAACTGTGCCATAGGGGCCCCGACCTTCTTAATCACCCCCCCCCCCAGATTTGTCCTCGACTAAACTTCCCCGGACATTTTAAAAATTGGGTGTCAGCAACATGTAGCTTAATAGGATAGACCCCATCTTGTTTCTAGTGTTTTAAGCAGTGTTTGAGACTTTGGGCCCAGATTTAAAACTGTGATCCCTTTTGATTGTAACATTCAAAACCCTCCCAAAACTTGTAACAATTTTTCACAAAAAACTTGATTTTCCCCAAAATTCACTTTGCGATTTTGCAGTTTTCCCTTTTGCAAGATTATTCATTTTAGCTACAGTACTTTCAGGTATGTAAATTTTAATTTTAATTAATCAAACAAGAAATTACTCTTAGTGCTTTTAAAGTTAGGTCAAAATTGGGGGGATTTGTGAATTTAACTTTAACGAAGTGTTATTCCAGACGTTAGCCCTACCCAATTTCTTTTACTTTTTAAAATTAAGTTTAAACTACATGTACCACCACAGACGCCCAAAAACCGCTTTCACGGGCCACCCTTCTCACTCATCCGTAAACTGAAGATAGTGTATTTATTTTTATATGAAAGGGATTGTCTTCGAGGCGGGGCCTCGGTATGTGAAAACTCAGCTTTTTCCCCTTTAATCTTGTATTTTTTTAAGGTTCCCTAAAGGGACACTGAACAAGAGGGGTGGTTTAAGGGGGCTGGGAGGGTTTTTTTAAGCCAGTGAAAAAAAAAAAAAGCTGGTTATATGATCATCTTTTGCTATTTTTAAAAAACTTTGGGAAAGAAAAATTTTGTTCCCCGTTTTCACAAAACCGGTTTATGGATAATACAGTTCATTGTACAAAACCCAAAGGGTTTCCCTCCTGGCGGGGCCAGTGCCCCCACCCTCCCCCCTTCCCTCAGACATGACATAACCAGTTTTTTGCCCTGGCAAGCGGGGCATCCACCTCTTCCCTCCCTCATATACATGTAAAAAACCTAGGGGTTTAACTCGCCCCCAAAAAGATTTAAATTTTTAAACCCCAGGGATCTGTACATTTTAAAAATTTTTTGCCACAGAAAATTTTGGCCCAAAAAATGAAATTCCAATCCCCAAACCTTGAAATGCCCCATATAATATAATATATTTTCAATGAATGGATTCTCTTTTTTTTTAAGACGGGGGGAAATTTTTAGGCTTTTACTTTTTTTTTTTGTTTTAATGTTTAAAGGGTTTTTCTTGATAGTATTTTTTTTTATTCTTTTCTTCATAATAATTTTTAACTATTTTTTTTGGCCATTTTAAAAAAAAACCCTTTTGGGTACGAAATTTTTTAAATTTAATTTTTTGGGTGCCCCATGCTCTGTCCCTCCATCTTTACTAGCCCTTTGCCCCAGGCCATTGATATGAAAAGGAAAAGAAAAAATTTTGACTTTAGGACTAACGACCTAAAAATTTTGTAAAAATTGAAAAACGGCCCCCACCTAAAATTTTTTGCTCACTTACGAAATTTTGGTTCAAAAAACTCAAATAAATTTTTTAAAACAAATCTTTTTTTAAAGATATTTATATTTCTTCAAATATGATCAAGCTTGAAAATTGCTGCCTCTTCTTAAAATACTAAATTTTAACACAACAAAAACTTTGCAAGGACTTTTTTCATGTTATGTAACAATGAAAAACATTTTTTAAATCTTACAAAACTTTGGGTCATCAATGACTTGTTCCCCACTGCTTACCCGACCTGTTATTGGGTCTTTCTGACACTGGCATGGTTTTAAACCCTTGGGAGAACTACAAAAAGGTTGTTGCCAATTGATTGACAGCTAAATTTTAAAATCACAAAAAAAAAAAAAAATTTAATTGGCATTTAACTTTTAAAACCTTTGGGATGGTTTCCCCTTACCAGTGCCATATTTAACTTGACAATTAAAAAATTTTGGAAAATAGTGACAGCATAAAACTGTTAAATTAAAATCTAATTTAAACCCCGTAAAGGGTTCTGCCTTTTCCCTACTTTACAAACAGATAGGGGATGGGGCAGCTAACAATACTAGGCTACTAATCATACCTTAAACCTTTCATCATAATCATAAATAAGTCTAAGCCCCAAGGAGAGGCCCCCCTTTTTAATAATTTTTTTTTTGACATCCCAAAATTTTATGAGCCTTCAAAATAAAAAATATAGCTTTGTGGTGATTGAACAATCAATTAAAAACAAAAAACTAAAAAACTATACTTAACTTTTAATCAGAGTAATAACAACAAAAACAAACTAAACAATTTTTATTTGGGGAAAAAAATTAAAAAATTTTTCATACCAATTATGCACTTTTTGTACCATAACAGTAATGCAGTTTTTAATAGGGCCCCAAAAAAAAACTGTATGTATATAAAAGATTGACCCCAAAGCAAAAAAATTCCAAGGATGGGAATATAGTTAAAAAAGGGGGCAACAATATTTAAACGCCCTTTTATAGGCATAAATCCCACAATCCTTTGGGTTTGACTGCCTGACTTGCCCCTTAATATACCTTCAAACCCAGCTCTGTGACTGGACGTTGTTATAAAAGTTTGTCAGGAGACAGGAAAAAAAAAAAAAAGTGTCTCCCGACATGGGGCTTTAAACAATAGATGCCCAGTTTTGATTTTGTTTAATGAACTAGATTTAGCTGGTTTTATAAGATTATACAAAACCAACTTAAAAATAATATTGAATGATAAGAATTTAACCCGGGGTGCAAAACCTGAAAAACACTGTGGTCATATTTACCAGAAGAACTTTCCTAATTCCTCATTTCTCAATTGTTTTGATCCATAAGATTTGAGGGCTCCCCGTTTTTTTCCTTGCTTTTTAAAAAAAGTTTCCCCCTTTTTCAGTTTAAGATTAGAGAAGACTCTCACCTAACTCTAAGTGCCCTTTGATTTACCTGGGGGGTTTTGGGGCTGACTCCTCTAAATTCTGAATTTTACTATAACCCAAAGACCGAAGGTTATTCCAAGAAACCAAAAAGATTTAACAAGACTAAACCCAATTTAAGGGTGAATTTAAATTTTTTTCGCCTGGCAACTGCATTAGCCCCGTGAATCCGCAGATTTATTTTAAAAATTTTCTGTACCCTTATAGCGGGCTACCGACCGTGCGACTGAATTTCCCACTTACCCATTTTAAAAAGAACCTGACTTAGCAAAATAGTACTGAGCTAGCTACTGGAAAATAGCACTTTAGGGATAAAACTTGACTCGTTAAGTTTCTGCGCCTTTTTCAGGATTTGACTTCCCCTCTTCCCTTGGGGAGACGAAAAGGGAGGGAGTTTTATTTGTTATGTTTTTATTTATTAAAGGGAAAAATTTTTTTTTCCCTCTTCCCTTTTGTTAGCAAAATAAAAATTATATTTTTTAAACCCCCGTTTTTATTGACCTTATATTTTAAGCTAAAAAGAGGGGAAAAAAGTATTTTTTTTTAAAAAAAACAAACACTGTTTTTTTCAAGGAAAAAGAACTACTATAATTGTAATATTTTGGGTAAAATTACCGACAATGTAAAGTAAAAGGGACCAAGTGCAACTAATTGACTTTTATTGTGGAAACGTTTCGCCCCTGGAGAGTAAAACTTTCCCACATAAAATGTCAAATAGTTGCACTTGTGTCCTTTTACTTTACAAAAACTACTCTAGAAAATAAAAAAAGAAGACTTTAATAACAATTTATAAAAAAAAATTAAATTTTTAAAGGGTCGGCTCCTGAGGAATAGGAGGAAATTAGGGATTCAAGGGAAAAAAAACTAATTTCTCAGATGAACACCCCTTTCCCAACAAAATCCCCCAAATTTAAAGGAAGCTTTTGAAAAAACCCCTCTTCAAGGGGGCCCCTTTGGGGCTGGTGAAGAGGCTCTTGGTCTAGGAATTAGCCCTGTCGGTTTTTTTCCTCAACCGAACCTATTACCCCCCATTCTCCCCCCCCCTACCCCAACCCCCCCCTTTTTCCTTTCCCCCCTCCTCCTCCTCACCCCCCCTTTTCCCCTTTTCCTTTTTTTAGCCTTCGGATTTCCCCCCACAGGCCGCTAGTTCCTAGGTAGGGGAAAGGCCCCGGGGGGGTCCACCCCATTCCGTTGAGGTTTCTTGCGGTGGCGTGTTTCCCGTGGAATCTGGATTGCCTAGGATGCCCCGATCCCTCCCCGGTACCCCGGGTAGCTTTGGGTGTCTTTTGGGGCGACGGGTGTATCTCTGGAAGCCCCCTTTCGGATTCCCGGGGGGTTTGGTGGCTAAGGAGGTAGCTTTGTGGCGGAATCCGGCCCCTCTCTTTTGTCCCCCGAGGTAGCTCGGCAGATGTGGGGTTGCTATCCCAGATTGCGGTTTACTGGCATAAGGGTAGGGTATGGCAGGGGGTTCCATGCGC